AACATATATATCTGCTGATGTTAAATACGGAGTGAAAAAATAATCTTTTAATCCTTAAAGACATAATCTATTTCTTTTCTAAATGTTCAGAAAAAGAATGTGCTAGATCTGTACACTAAAAGAAAAACATACTGAATCCTTAGCAATATAACTGCAAAAAGTATAACTGAGAATACTTAATTTATGGGACTTCCATAAAAGGATTTTATCTGACACATTTTTTTAGATTATCCATTGAGATTTTATTTCAATTGCTGATACTTTTTTAACTCAAAATAGTGAAGCCATAAAAAAATTGTAGTATTACTTAACACATTTATAACTAGAAAAAATATTTTAATCAATTTACATTAGAATAAAAACATTAATTTAAAATAATTAACTTTTCACTCTATTAAAAAAATAAAATCTTTTGCAACTGTTCTGTTTCAAATTAATTAATCAATCTAGAATAATATGTATGTTCCATGAAACTAGAATATGAACAATTTGGTTATTTCCACAAAAGTCCTTCAAAAGAATTGCTGGAGTGTTGCTGTTACTCTAACCTACAGTATTGCTAGGGGAAAAAATGCTATACTTTTATACATATGCAACTCACAGCATGGTAAAATAGCCACAAAACCCTGTTTTTTTTATATATTCTGCAGCAACATTTAGAATTATACAGTACAACAGATTAGCATGACCAATCTCAAATAGTTGATAGCTCACATAGCGAAGCATTTCCAACAAAGAATTCATTTGCTGATCAATTAACTGAGAAGACATATAAGCAGGACTTTATCATGCTTGATCAGTTCTGTTTTAATAATGAGTCTATTTAATGTTGAATGGATCCCCAGAGAATGCCTTAAGTCAGCTTTGACCAATGCTTCCAGTGCTTTATCACCTACTTGGTGACAATGCTGACAAGTGTCAGAGATACACTACTCGTCTATGGAAGAGAAACTGATCGTTGTCACCTACTCCGAGGAAAAATCCCAATAGAAAACAACACTTTAATTTCCCTTATAAACTATGGTATATCAAACAAGATTAAATTGAAATAACAAAAATAAACATATTTAATACACTTTCTGAAGGAAAGGCATCCTACTTAATAGTTTCAGCATTAGGTAACACAAAGCCAAATTTCCATTCTTTCAGTTTTCTAGAATGTGTCACTATCTTGAGGTCACAGACCATATACAGAACTATTTTAAACATATTTTGCAGAATGTACTTCCATAAGCTCCATCACTGGAGATTTTTAAGAAGAGACTACACAGTCACTTGTCTGAAATGGTATAGATTCTCCTGCTTGAGTAGGGGGTTGGACTAGAAGACCTCCAAGGTCCCTTCCAGCTCTATTCCTATTTCTATTCTATTCTTCAATTACACATCCAGCAGTATAATTTAAATGTTTAATTATAATGAAGATATGTTACATAGAGTAAAGCAGTTTTATAAACAAACAAAACATCAAAAGTTCAATCAAATGATTAATGATATACCTACCCCCCCCCCCAAAAAAAACAATACTTTCTCTTCCCATAACAGTAAGTAGGAAAAATTATTATGTAACTACTCTCCTCTGATACATGTGGGTATCAGTAAGCCTGGATCAACTTCTAGACATATCTATACACTACTACTGTATGTGTTCCTTAAAAACTCCTGCATACATTAGTATTTAACATGTTAATCAAAGCATTATCTGGACAATCAAATTAAAACATAATTCTATAAATATGAAGCATATTAACCAAAGAATATAATTTAATCTGAGCCATTTTCTAATTAAACTATGGCATTAGTAAAAAAAAAATTCTCTCTCTCTCTCTCTCTTAGTCAGGAATGTTGTACAATAAAAATACTGTTTTAAAGAAATCAAACTATGAAGTTTGTATATGCTCATTATACTATATCAACACAATTGAAGCATAGCTCTTGCAGTACTACATCATTAGTTGGGGGGGAGTGAATTATCTGTTGCATCAAAGAAGAAGGGGTCAACCTATTTTCCAAAGCACCAGAAGGCAAGACAAAAAGCAATGGTTAAAAAGTTATCAAAGAGATAAGCAACTTAGAACTAAGGAAAAAAATTCCTGACAGTGAGAACAATCAATCAGTGGAATGGCTTGCCTTCAAAAGTTGTAGATGCTCCATCACTGGAGGCATTAAAAAGGGATTGGACAGCCATTTGTCTGAAATGGTATGGGATCTCCAGCTTGAGCAGAGGGTTAGATTAGAAGACCTCCAAGATCCCTTCCAACTCTGTTATTCTGTTATCAAATGTCATTTATCTAGCATGCTAGACCAGCGGTTCTCAACCTATGGGTCGCGACCCCATTTGGGGTCGATCGACCATTTCACGGGGTCGCCAAGCAAGGCTGTCCGCCATTTTTTGTCCACCATTTTTTCCCCTTTTCCGGCGGGTACCTTACCTCCCTTGAGCTGGGCCAGCTGGTGGTCGGCCTGCTCTGTCTCTGCCGCTTGCCAGCTACGCCTCGGCCAGCGCAGGGGGCGGAACCACACATGCGCAGCGCTCCCGGCCAGGGAAAGTCCTCAACTTACGACCGGTTGGGTAGTCCTCGACTTACGACCGGTTTAGTCCTCGACTTACGACCGGTTGGGGGTCGCGGCATTAAAAAGATTGAGAACCACTGTGCTAGACCATACTTGTTCTTATGCCATAGTGAAAGAATGTTCATGAAACTATTATAAGTACCCCAAATCCTACAGTAATGCAATAAGGTTTTTAATGCATTAAGAACTTCATTTAAGTCCCAGATAAGGATATTCAAATTGAACCATGCAAAAACACTTTATTTTGCCATTTTTCCCTGAATATACTTCAAAAATGTTCACTGTCTTTTTTTGGAAAAGTATGTGAAGTCTACAATAATTAGCTCTCTTAAGAGAGTAGGTTGAGACAGATGTTCCAATAACAAGATGACAATATGATGTCAGTTTGAGAAGGAGAAAAGGACACATGTGTTGATTGTGACTAGCAGAGTCTACTTTTCATGACACTAGTTTGTAAAACTGACTATGCTTGATCAAAAGAGCTCTTAGGAGAATTCAAAAAAAGTGTTGTTTATGCTCACGAGACTGGAAAAGGCTATTAAACTATTATGAAAGACTCTTATCATTCCTCAGTCAGGCAGACAGTGTACAAATGGAGAAAATGTAACACCGCTCTTATTCATCCATGGAAAGCCACACCAAGAATAAGGCATAAAATATTTTGTAAAGGAGCTGCGGGCATTTTTTGCTGTGTTGCATTTTCTGCTGTGTTGTATTTTAACTGAACATACGGTAACATACAAATGAGTCTACCATTAAAAAAATGAACAAGAATGATGAAACAACTGCTCTCCGAAAGTTGATTGCTGCCTATTTGAAGTTTGCCAAAAACCACCTGAATGAGGCTTTCGAACAACGTTCTGTAGACAAGTGGGAACTTACTGTCATTAATTAGAAATATTATTTTTATAGAAAACAAAATCCTGCAGCTCAGCAAAAGAAACATACAAGTTTACAGTATTTAGAGCAGAACAGCTAAATAGAACAAATTGTATTTTCATTGGTCTTTGAATTTCAAAATGGGCCAACTGGAGAAGGATCCAATCAGAAAGTAGCTTTCTTGGAGTCCTGTACATTGGATCCGTTACAGATCAGCTGGCCAAATTCAAATTCCAGCCTCCAATTAGCCCATTTCGGGTACCTGCGAGCTGCTGAGAAATATGCCACAAAGCAGCTCACTCTGCCTCTGAAAATGCCAGCCACAACTTCTAGAGAAATATCAGAAAAAAGAAAACTAGACCAGGATCATTCAGCCTGAAAGCTTATCACTGAGATATAGTATGCTGTGTGCTATTTAATCAGAATCTCTTTATCTTTTAACAGGCCTTTTTGTAAGTTCAGATCACACTGAAGGTAATAATACTGCAGGATTATGGATACGTGTAAAATGTTTGCAAACTTTACCACTTTAAAAAACAGCAACATCACACTTGTGATGAAGCCATAAATAGCAAATACAGGCTTACCTCTCAATAGCATTCTTGGGCCTGCAACATTTGTACAATAGAGGTCACATGAAAAAATACACTACGAAGGTATCACATGAACCAGAAGAAAAACAATTATCTGACTAGTAGATACTTACATCTGGATATTCTTTTACAGGCACATACAGTTTTTCTTGTAGCTGTACAATAGGTCCCACAGCATCAGGTAACTCTGCACTTCTTTTCTCCGTACTACCATTTAATGTGTCATTATACATGTCTTTCCGTACTCTGCTAATTTCTGTAAGAGAAAAATATACTGTGTGTTATATTACCAAAATTAAAAATCTGGAACAATAATTTATTAACTGCCATCTCTATGGAACATTAATCAGCAAAGTAATTAGAAGCTGAGCACACAAAGATGTATTTTAAATACATTTCTGTTTTTTAAGTAGAAAGTACTGATGGGCAGCAATTAGGGACCATCTCCAAATGCACTTTTGCTCACCATAAACAGTCTCTGAGATTTTATATAAACTTGTTTTTGCATTTTCAAATAGTCTTGGGAATGAACTGGTTTTCAGTTTACAAATCCAAAGGATAAAGCTTTGATTCTCAGGCTTGCAGGGCACACAGTCTACAGAGCTTCAACCTCTTCCTGTTCACCATTATGGGCAGAAGCAACTTTCTGCTTTACCTGTCAACTATTCAAAATACAGGTAGTCCTTGACCACCCGACTGCTTTGCTCAACTACTGTAATCCCAACCCTTCCAACTGTGGCCATTGAGCAATCTCCTGAAGTGCACGGAGTGAACGAACTTGCCTATGGAGTTCAAGTCCCCTCCATCCATGGAAGGGAACTACTCTTATGAGCTGTAGAAACAGAACTGGTATCTGAGCTTTTTTTTCCTCCACCACTAGAGGAGTTCAAGTTCAAGTTCATCGAATGGAGCTCTTTCCAACAGCCTGGAAGGGAGATGAACTCTTTCAGTGGAGAGGAGAAATGAGCTCAGATAGATTCCCACCTCTGTTCCTGAAGCCTGCCAGAGGATTTTAGGATCTGATCTCCTTTTCTGGAACCCCTTAGTGCATGAAAGGGAACTCCTCTGGTAGGCTGCAGAAGCAGAGCTCAAGTCTTTAGGATCTCCTCTATGAACAGAGTTAAGATTTCCTCCGAACAGGCAGTCCTTTCATTTTGAAAGAGTTGTGGGGGAAAGAGGATCTTAGCTCTTTGACAGGAGGCAGCACTTGCAACCTTCCCTACCAACTCTCCCATTGATTTTTTTTTTTAGGAAGCTGGCATAGAAAGATTGCAAATAGTAATTACACGATTGTGGGGCACTTGACAACTAGTCCTAGGTTGCCAAACTCCCATATTGAGATCATGTGACTGTGAGGGGAGTTGGCAAATTGTACAATAGCTGGAAGCTCTTTAGAGGTTGTAAACACCCTTGCTGAGGCCATCATAATAACTTCAAATGGGTATCAAGCAACCAGTCTGATTTAAAAAGATGGGACTACAGATTCTGCCCACCAGATTCTGTCACTGTAAAATCAATCTCCTTGGAAATTCCTTCCTGTAAAATGTGACTATCCAAAGTCAGATAGTGATGAAAAATTGCACAAAAACTTCAACCAACCGTCTTTCTCCCCTGCAAGTTTTCTTACTATTTTTGATAAGAATTACCTCCATGTAGGTTAATTATTGGTTTTTGATCTATCTATCTATCTATCTATCTATCTATCTATCTATCTATCTATCTATCTATCTATCTATCTATCTATCTATCACATTTCTGTATTGCCCATTCCCTCAAAGAGGTAGTATTGCGTATTACTATCCTTTCTCCATCATTTTTGAATTCTTGGAACAACTGTAGAAGGTAGTAACTTTTATCAGGGGTACGGACAATCTGATTTGCCTAATGAAAAGACACAAATATTTTTTCTTTAATATTCATCATGAGAAATATCCCCTGTCCCCCAGTCCTGCTATGGCATTACAATGTGGTGGGGGGTGAAACTGTTCCCAGCGGAATGACCAAAGAACACCAGAAATGTATGCCTAGAATATATACTCCCAGCAGGGTCTCCCAAAAGTCATCTCAGCTGCTTAACTAAAGCAAGCAGGCATTTAGATTGGGCAGAAGAGTGATATAGGGAGATTCTTGAGGCAGATGATTGCTTTAGTACTAATCGTAAAGGCCTCACTTCATACTGCATTGGAGAAAGCAAGGATAAACCATTCCTGTATTTTATCAAGAAAATCTCATGGGCAGCAAAGACAAAGTGATTGCTGATATAAGTGCTGAGTGATGGGCCCCTGAAGTCAGATGGCACTCAACATGCGATTGATAGAGGATGTTTCATAATACTAATGTTGTTTATGATGTGGCTAGATTAAAGCTTTTGAAATGTCTAGTTGCAGATGCTACCATGCAAGAAAAGAAAATCCCATTGTAATTCTATCTTTGCAGCTTATGAAAAATGAAGTGGTGTTTCATAAACAGGGGGGAATAGCAAAGTCTATATTTGGGTTCATTTAATCAATGATTTCATATCATTAAATGAACAACTCTTCAATATGATACTGATGTAGAAAAAGGGGAGGTTGACAATAAAGCAGGAGAATCACTTTCTGCAAATTCAATTATTTATTCATTGCTAACAGTCTTCAATTCAAACAAGCAAAAAAACACCTATCTAGATGAACAATACCAAATTTTCCCCACAACACTCCTATGAGATGGGCTGAAGTATGAGAGAGTGACTAGCTCAAAGTCACTCAGCCAGTTTTAATGACTAATAGATTTTAGATCAAAGATGTAAGGTGTGTATCAAAATTCTATACGGTAAGGATTTCAATATCCTAATCAAAAGGTAACAAGGATTGATGCAGTATCTACAGTATAGAACAGTGGTGGCGAACCTATGGCACGCGTGCCGGAGGCGGCACTCAGAGCCCTCTCTGTGGGCACGCACGCCATCACCCCAGACCCGCCTCCCCCGCAGCTCCCTCCTCACCAGAAGCCCCCCTGAAGGAGAGTCAACCCTGAGCGTGGTCCGCACGGAGCAGCACAGCCAAGGACATGGCAGCCAGGCTGCGGGGATAAGACTGTGCCCTCGCGCCCCATCGTGCGCAGATGATGCAGGGCATGGGTGGAGGGCGTGGCTGCCACGGCGCTGCTGGGCTGCCTGGGCGATCTACTGTGGTGGGCCGTGGAGACTGTGGGTGGCCTTGCAGGGGAGTGGGGGCAGAACAGGGGTGGAGTGGGCGGGGAGGCAGGGGCGGTTTTGGGGCACTAAGTCTCTAAAAGGTTTGCCATCACTGGTATAGAAATATGGGAAGCAACTTAAGAATCAGTAACATTTCTAAACAAACTAAACCAACATACCTGGTGAACAACACAATGGAAAACAAACCAGATGTCAACATATCAATACTACAGAAGGGAGAGTTAACAGTAAGCAAGGTGTCTCATAATGTTCTTAATTTCACATGCTAGCAAAATAAAACTTAAGATCATACAAGGCAGATTAGAGCCCTACATAGAAAAAGAGCTACCAGCAAGTCAAGTTGGTTTTAATAACAGCTGAGGAATAAGAGATTATTTCAGATGCATACTGGATAACTGAGTAAGACAAAGGAAACTAAAAAGAATTACGTGCTTCACTGACTATAGAAAGGCCTTTGATTGTAATGAGCATGTATTTCCTCAGATGTTAAGAATCAACTAAGTTCCAAATGTAAGGAAATCTAAGTACATCAGAATAGGTAATCTTTTATTTATGATCACAATTGGGACCAGAACATTTGTTGTTAAGCAACATGGTTGTTAAGTGAGACATCACATGACTGCACATCCAACTTCACAACCTTTTTTTACCGGTCATTATCAACATATCACATGATCATGATTTGCAACCATCCCTAATTTCCCCATTGAGTTTGCTTGTTGGAAGTCAACTGGGAAAATCGCAAATTGCAATTACATGATCACAGGATGTTGCAACCATTGTAAACATGAGCTGGTTGCCAAGTGCCAAAATCACAATCATGTGACCATAGAGGTAGTGTGACAGTCATAACTTTGAGCAGGCTGTAAGTCAATTTTTTTCAATGCCATTGTAACTTTCAACCACCATTAAATAAATGTTTGTAAATCGAGCAGTTCCTATACAAATTATATCTAATGTTAGAAACACCTGGGCAAGTTTAGAAAGAAGATGAATCTACAAAAATATGCTGAAAATATTTATTCCTATTTAATGTTTGTTTCCTATTTATTGTTTCCTTTTTAATAGCCATTCCCTCTAAAATAACTTTTCAAATAGTCACACATAGAGAACATTCTACTCCTTGGCTAATAAGGCATCTTATTCCTTCTTGAATTTCTTGATTAAAGTTCTCCTATAATAATTTTTATTTTAAAAAATTGTACACTCGGAAACTGCTCTGAACTTGATCGGGTTTCTTCTGCTACAGGGAGTGTTTTGTTTTGGCTACTTTTCTTTGCTCACTAAAGCCCCCTTCCATTTTTGTGGATGGTTAACATTTTGGTTACAGAAGCCATGATTTCTGAGTATCAGAATTAGGTCAAAAGTCCCACAACAAGTGGCAGTGAAAATGTGTTTTTGTTTTTTACTTTTGGTTGAAACATAAAACAGCTTAGCACCAAAAAACCAATTTCTGTTCTAGCTCCAATAGTATCTCATGTCCAAAGTATCTGTGTAAGCAAGTATGAATATTTTGAGCAGTTAATAAATAAGCAACCAATTCTGCATGAATGAATTTCTCAATGCAATTAAGAGCCTGCACCTGTAGAAAGACTCGGAACATTTCTTTTCTTCATTAGAATAAACAAAAATCCAGTTTCTATCAAACTCTGATCTAAATCAATTACATAACTGAAAATATAAATATTTCAAAACTAGTTATTTCCTCTTATCAATGTTTTATTTAGCTTATATAATTTTCTTTCATTTTAAAATATTAAATCATTCATTGGTTGATTGTTCTAATCAGTCCCATCATCTTGTAAGATTTAAAATAACTGGACATTCTTAATTATTTCCCTTCAAATGTCAATGTTTCAGCTTTATCATTTTATATATAAAATGCCCTTGTCAAGTTTTAAACTCTTATATGTATATAAGTGCAACTTTTCCATCAAAAACCATTACATCAGGATTTGACCAATGATTTCTAGTAACACACTTTACAATTTGTAAAAATGAATGAAATCTTTTGTAATACAGATACAAATATTCAAATATCAAGTGAAAATGTACTAAAG